TTCAGCATCTATTCTTTGGTGATCTCAATTAGCATATGTTTTCCCTCTCCTCCCTTAATATGTGCCTGTACTATGTATCACTCAGAAGTTTTTAGGTTTAGAACACACCCTATGCAGTATAACTTGATTAAAATAACAAAGCCCTATTTCCAAATTGTTCATTATTCTCTACTGTGAACCTACTCATAGCTCCAGTGGGTTTTCAGGGGCTGTAAATTGCACAGGAGTTGGATGATCATCAGCTGCTGGTGGATTTAAACCACTTGCCTTTGGGATGGAGCACAACTCCTTAACCACTAGTTTACCAGAATTTCCTATAAGAATGGAATAATTGTGTGTGTGTGTGCGCGCGCGCGCGTGCTATCCAATAGGATCTGACTGGCACAGGAGGAGATTGCCCCTTCCTTTCTTGAGCCAACTGTCTGTTAGATTCGAACTGCATGCCTTCACGATAACAGCACAGCTTCTTGCCACAAAGGCCACCAGAGCGCCCTAATAATGCACTTTTTAATAGAAGGTACAGCAACAGAAAAATTTGGACACCTTTATTCACTATATTAAGGAAAACTAAACATTTGTTTTCATAGGATTTCTAATAGACTGTCATTTTGATAGCTGAGAGATTTTGGTGTCAGGAAGTAAAAGTTCTTCACCTCTAACCTAAAGATCTCTAAGAACTTCTGGTTGTTCTTTTTGTTCTCTTAATCTATGAGGTTTTGAGACACTTGAAGTGTATAAGGATGGAGCTCTACTGGCATAGCCCTTTGTGCTAATCCAAAGGCTCTCTATGGAAGAAAGATGGGCAATCTCCTGCTAAAAAGGTCGACTATGAGTTGTGACTCAGTGGCAATGAATTTGACGTTACTGGGAGTTTTTAGTGTGTGACGATATTAAGTACCAGCAACCTTAAATATTACCTTTTGCCAAGTTAGACTACACCCATTGTCTCCAATCATGCCAACCCATTCCTAGTTTTCTGTGGTTCTTCTTGTGATGTTGTTTCTGGTCAGTGGCCTTTATTCTTTTCACCATATCTGATGAAGTTCTAAGTACATCTTTTGAAGTAGTGCTTCACCAAGAAGTAAAAGTTGACTTAATCAGAGCTATTGGCCTCTGAAAATTTACCCTTAATATGTTTATTTTGATGACTTGCATATTTTTCTCCTACTCTGTTAAATGTAAATAAATCAGACAATATTATATATAGTAGAAGGAGCACAGACTCAGCCTTAAGTAAAATTTTAGCCCAGAAATTCTTAACTACTAAGTAACTGGTGGTGTTAGCCTAACGTTGGCTTTTTTTAGCCATTACGGTCAGCCCCCTCTTGTCTCCAGTTACCTAAACTGCATACACATGGTTTTTGCAAATCATCAACAGCTGTGGGACTAGTGTAAGAGGAAAAAGTTTCCCACACTTGGTAGCAAGACTTTAGATGAACAATACTTGAAGGAAGCTAGAGCGAGACTGGTGATGGTGGTGGAGACTGGCCAGGTGGGACCTGAGGCTTTATGCATTTGTGCTGGCTACACTTAAAACTTTTTGCTGTTCTTAATGGATGCTTGAAGGAGAAACTGACTAACTGCCCTGAGGCAAATTTTGCTGGATGATTTGGATTTGACTGGTGAACTGAATCAGAGCCTGGACGAATTGAGGGAGGAATTATGCTTTGGAACTTGGACTAAAACCTTGACTTTTATTGGGTGATATTTTTTTGCCTTCCCCACTCTCCATTTTATTTCCCTAATAAACCCCTTTCTTGGTACCCCACACTGTGTGAGTCAACAATGAATTAATGAACTTCTTGCTGTTGGTATGGCTCTAGAGGCACCATGGGACTAGGCTTTTTATCTGCTTTCTCTTCTGCAGTGAGGGGCTGTGATATTCCCTCTGGCCTTTTCAGAGACATTACTGGTCCTGTGACCCCATGTTCCATTTTTTGTTTTTGTTTTGTTTTTTAAAGACAGTATCTAAAGCATTTAACTGCTGCTAGTCCCAGTTTCTGTATCTGTTATAGGATAAAACCCATAAATCCCAAAGCTGTCAAGTCAATTTTAACTCGTTGTTGCATACCATTGAGTCAGAAGCAATGCATAGCTGAACCTCTAGTGAGTTCAAATTCAGTTAATCACATTGGAAAAGATGGCCCTTCTTTCTCCCTCAGAGCAGCTGGTGAATTAGAACTGCATGCATGCCTTGGGGTTGACATCCCAACTCCTTACCACCCACCAGAGCTCCCTAATTAATGGAGCTCCCTAAGTAACTCCCTTTTAACTGATAGTGACCCTGTCATGGAAGCTGACTGCCATATCTCTCTCTGTGAAGCAAGTAGTGACTTAGAACTGCTAACCTTAAACTTGGCAATTGAGCGCTTAACCTCTGTCCCACTACAGCTCATTAAATAGATAATACCTACATGATAGGTATTGTTACAAGGATTCAATAATAAAATTTGTGTAAATTAGTATACAGTGAGAATCATCAAATACTGTCTAAAAGATGACGGGAGGACTGTTAATACGTCCCCAAATGTTGTTGTTATGTGCTGTTGAGTTTGACTCAGAGCAACTCTTTGAACAACAGATCTGAACCCTGTGCCATCCTTTATCTCATTCACTCAAGACCATTTAATTCCATCATTGAGTCATTCCATTTTGTTCAGGGTCTTTCTCTCTTTCACCAGCCCACTCTACCTTTCTAAATAAGTGTTTCTGAAAGGAAAAGTTTCTCCTGATAACATGCCCAGAGTCCGTGAGATGAATCTCACCATCATTGTCTACAAGGAGCACCCTAGTCATGGTTTCTCCAAGACACATCTCTTTGTTCTTTTGGGAGTCTATGGAATTCAGTACTCCCAATACCACAGCTCAAGGGCTTAAATTCTTCTGTCATCCTTAGTAATTGTCCATGAATTGGTTCTAACTCATATTCACCGAATATAAAATGAAACAAAACACTGTTCAAACCTTACCCTCCTCAAATTGTTGTATTTAAGCTGATAATGCAGTCACTGGTCTCTTGATAACATCTAAAATAAGAAAAATTAAGTTGCATCATCTTCAAGTCCAAGGAGCATTCTGGCTATACTTATAAGACATATTTGTTCGTCCTTCTGGCAGCCCAATGCTTATTTAACAATGCATTAAAAGTGGTTTTTAGGTGCCATTGAGTTATCTGCGATCCATAGTTACCCAGTGTACAGCATCTCAAGCCTATCCTGTTCTGAGCCATTAAATAAGAGGGTGAATTTAAAAGTTTATCTTTTGGGTGGGTGAGGGTGTGTGTGAGGGAAGTTGGAAGCATCCATTCTGGAAATCAATGTACTCTAATTTTACAAATAAACTAGTATAATACATACATAGTAAAAAGTTAATGTTTCAGATTCTAGATAACAGATTACCTCCATCTTTAACAAAGATAACAGTCTGAGGGGAGCTCTGGTGGCCTAGTGGCAAGGAGCTGCAACTACAATCCCAGAGGCGCACAGTTCGAATCCACCAGATGCTCTGCCAGGGAAGGAGGGACAATCTCCTCCTGTACCAGTCAGATCTGATTTGACGGTACACTCACACAAAAATAAGAAAAAATATTTTTAAAAAGATAGCAATCTGGTAATATGAATGAAATAATTTTGACTGTCTTGGTTTACCTTTCTCAAATGAATTAAAACACTTTACTATTTATAACATTTCTCTTTACAAAACCCTGTGAGTTGGCAAAGATTGCTGCTTTTATAGTTAGAACTTTTGATAACAGTCATGTGATAGAGCAAAAATAAAATTTCACTTACAGTCCCTGCTCTAAAAAAACAAAACAAATATTTTTTCTTTAAAAAAAATTTTCCATAGGCTATTTTTAGATTAACACACTAAACATCTTCCCATGCCATATAGAAGCTGTAATGTGTGTGTGTGTGTGTGTGTGTGTGTGTGTGTGTGTGTGTGTGTGT